GTATGAAACTGTGTCGAAGGCCTTCCTAAAGTCCAGGAAGATGACATCAGCCTTGGCTCCCACATCCAGGTAGTGTGAGACCTGGTCATAGAAGGTTACAAGGTTTGTCAGGCAGGATCTACATGTGACAAACCCGTGCTGGCTTCCCCAAAATTGGGCTTGTCCAGGATTTGAACCCAGGACCTCTCGCACGCTAAGTGAGAATCATACCCCTAGACCAGCAAGCCATCTGTTCTGTTACAGCTTTAAACCAATTTCTGATCACTTAAACTGGTTTATGTGTCATGTCTGTCCCTAGCTGCCCTGAAGTTATTGCTTTATATCTCTTATCCACAGGTTATTTTGCACAACATCCTTCAAACTGGTTTCCCTGATCAGATTCCAGGCTTGCTGGTAAACCCCAACAGGAGAGCACCTGGTCACCACGACCTAAGAGTTAGCAGCAGCTATGTTAGCTTTTATTAGAAAGCCTCTAGTCCTTTGAAGAACAATACTTTTACTATTGCAGGCATTTGTTCCTCTGAGTAGTTACAGGTCAGAGATCCATAAAGTCAATTTGTGAAGTAGACCATGGTTTAGGATGACATTGTTGTTTAAGTGAAGCATTATGCTTTGGGACTGTTCTGTTCACAGAAAAGGTGATATTTACAATGGTCTTGTACATCCTCTTCCATTTGAGGCCACCATCTTATTCTCTCTGGTCTCTGTATTGTTTTTATTTGCCCACCTTCCCTCGGTCTACTGGTAAGTACATCATGTACTGAATTTGTTCTGTGACTTCTCAAACAGGGGGTGACTTCATCTTTTTTTCATACATGAGCAAAGCTGTTCTTTGTGGCCACACGTCATTTGGATTCATGATGTTTCAGAGATGAGGGTTGCAACAATTATTTTCCTGCCTGTATTTACTTTATTCCTTCAGTCAGCTCTGCTTTCATCGTCCTTGGTGTCCCCAGGTCAAGAGAACAGCTTCAGTGCTGCTTGCGGGAGCAGACATACGCATGGCTTGGTGCAAAAATGTCAATTTCTTCTGCTTTTTAACTTTTGTCTTGCAAAAATGTCAACAGCTGCATTTTCCCAATGAAGAAGAGCAGTATTAGGGTATGAACAATTTACCACAGAATAAAAGGGGGTAAGGCTTTACCAAGCATCTGCTGCTGTGGTAACTGCCCACATTCATGTTCTTATCCCATGGTGAGTGGAAACTAACTTGTGGTGGTTTATTTCTCAGTGAAAAACAAGTAGGCAACTACAGTTTAGTTTTAATCTATGCTGGGTCTAAGTGTGCACATGGGCACTTAGCACAGAACAAATGAAGTGGGGTCAACTCCTGTCTATTATTTTACCCCACAGTGGGCATGTCTACATGTACATTAAAGTGCTTTTCCTAATGCACATTAAATTTAGTGAGGTACTAAACAAATGCACATTAGACTGCCTTAATGCACAGGATGAATGTGCATGGTTTTTAAGTGACACTTAATGTGCAGTAGCTTATTTTACTGCGCATTAGCGTAATAGCATGGTTTTTAACGTGATGCTTTAATGTGCATTAAAATAGGCTACTGCACATTAAAGCATGTGTGTAGATGTGCCCAGTAGGTCTTTGTATGCCTAACCTCCTAGAGTGAGTCTTGAGTTTAAGAACAATGGAAAGAGAAGGAGAGAAGAGGCTAAAGAAGCAACGTAACAGAGAACATGGCCTGCATGAAGGGTGATATATCCGAAGAAGTAAAACGATGAGAATTTCAATGAGGAAGGAATTGTACGAGGGAAATGATAAAGCCCAGCAGAATTAGAATGAGAAGGAAAGATTTTGGACATGCAGTAAAGTACTCCAAGGCACCAGCTCTAGTGGCTCTGTAAATTGGACTGAATGCAGAGCACAAGAAAAAGATAAAGAGATGGGATGTGTGGGGGAAGGATATCATGTCCAAATGCAGTGTGTGGCTTAGCAGCTTAGCCCATGCACAAAAACAGCCAAGAAAGAGAAGTATTGGTTGGTTTAGAAGACTTGGGAAAAGCCTGAAAATGCTTATACAAGTCATGGGAGATGCCAGCAATGGACGTGCTACGTGAGTGGAGTAGGAGAGTTGAAAGTGAAGAAAAACTAACTCTAAGGTCTGTGTCCTACAGTAATGGAGACCAGGGTGTAAGTTTATTATTAAAACCTTGCCTAGCATTAATTTGACTGGAGAGGAGAAAATCCATAGGTGGAAGAGAAGTGTGCAAAAAAATTGGAGAAAATCCAATTAAAAACTTAGTGATTGATAGTCCCATAGATATCTAGCACATGGCTTTTCTCTCACAGCAGCTCTTTTAGCTTACTCACAGGAAGCATTTTAAAGGCATACAAAGATATTTGTACTTGAAAGCTTGCAAAGAAGAATTTTTCCAACTATTTGAGTTGGTCTAATAAAAGATATCAGATTTACCCAATGAACCTTGTCTGCCTAAGCAGTAGCTTTATATTTCCCATGTACTTCCCGAGCAAACACGGCAGAGGGAGGTGTTTTGTTTGTAGCAACCTCCAAAGGCAAAGGCAAAGTGGGGTCAGGCGTAGCTAAAATGGGAGCTGATGCTGAAGACTGCTTCAGCCTGAATGTGTTTCTCTGTCCATTGCCAATGGACGTCTTTTTAAAAAAAGTCATGCAAAGGAGATCCACTAGCAGCACAATCCCGTATAATACCTCTATGATACCTTGCACATGAGACCAGCTTTTGAAACAAATGCAGTAGCTTCTTTAGCAGTTATAGATGTTTCTCTAAATCAGGGGCCAGCAATTATTTCAGGCAGAGGGCTGCTTACTGAGTTTTGGCAAGCCATCGAGGGCCGCAAGTCAGGGGCAGATAAATATTCATTTTCTAACTTTTTCAGGGGCCCCGCAGGCTGGATGGAATAGCCTGGCGGGTGGCATCTGGCCCATGGGTCGCATTTTGCCCACCCCTGCTCTAAATGGACCCATTGTGAAGCGAACAGGAAACAGCAGAAGGTTTAGAGCAGGGTTGTGCAGCTGCCTCTCCTGATGCCTTGTGATGGAGAAGGTGGCAGGGGGTCTGTGCACAGCCCAGCAGTGGGGGGTGGGGGAACTATGTGCCACCGGCACAGCACATGCTAGTCAGGGAGGGACCTAGGAGTGGGCTGCTCGTACTGCATGTGTTTTCCAGCCATGGTGAAGTTGGACAGTCCTGGTTTAGAGAATACTGGTAACACTTGCTTTACTAAGCTCTGAAAGACAGGAGAGTCATGACATTCCCAGGGCAAACAGGTTCCTGTCTGCTGTCCTTTAAGTGTGAAGGAAAGGTTATACTGACATTCAGAGGAGTAGCTAGCTATTTTGGTACCCTGGGCTGAGCAGGGGAGATGTTTAGTGCCAGGGGCTGAGTAGGGAATGCAGGGAGGGCCAATCTCACCTGCCACAGTTGAGTCTTGCTGTTGTTTTCTGTTGTGAGTTGGGCATCCTACGTATTGGCAGCAGGAGCGCCAACTCCCCAGGGGCTGGCATGAGGCACGCCCTCTGAAATGGCAGCAGGGGCTGGTGCCCTGCTTATCCAACCCTAGCTGTGCTGCTGCTGGAATTCTAAATTGAAAGGAATGGACTAGAAACCATTAGAAATCTCTAGAGAAAAAAACCATGTCAACTCGAGAATGAGATTTTTAACAGATCCAGGATAGTTGCTGCTGTGTTGATGCTCACCATATTGGTGCTCACTTTAATTTATAGTAGTTAATTCTTTGTTGCCAGGAGCCAGCAAGCTTTAGTACTGGCCATCCAGAAGATCTTCTGTGGACTCTGTGTTCTTTTAAGCTAGGGATAGAAATTATACATAAACCAGTATAAGTGATTGAAAACCAGTTCAGATCTGTAACACAACAGAAGGTCAGTGTATATAAACCACTTTCCAAGTGGCCAGAACTGGTTTAAGATAAAGCTGGATGAACATAGTATCAGACTTATTTAGATTAAATTGGTTTATTGAACTTCTGTCCCACATCCCCTCGAGATTCAAGTTAACTCACAGTCCCCCACCATCCCAGGATGCTTTGCACCTCCCCTGCAACCTCCCCCCTTGCAAGGTGGGTGTGCTAGCTTTGGCCCAATCTGTCTGCCCCAGCCAAGCAGGGATACATGCTCTAGCATCCCCCAGCTTCTAGCCTGAGCCACTGCAGGCATGTGGCTGCATTTCCAGAATCAAAAGTGAATGTCTGTTCACTTGGTTATATATTCAATCCACACAGTTTAGCCTAACCTGTGAAGATTGAATCGATTCATCCTCCAGCTTTTTGACTGTCTGTCCTTAGCCTTAAAGATTCAGTTGTCAGCCATGTACAATTTGGCCTCATTGGGATTGAGGGCCTTGTTCTGGGGGTTTGGGATCAGAACTGGAAGTAGTTAACAATTGCATCCATTCTCATTGTTGTCTGTGTTTCACAGAGGCCTCAGCATTTGCTTCCACCAAAGACTCCATGGTTTCCTTCAAATAGTGCCTTCTGTAATTGTCTCTTGCATCCTACTATGCTGTTTTTAAATTGCAGCAACTGCATGAGAATCAGGTATGACAACTGGACTGGACTCTAGGATGAGCTCTGTTAATGCCCATGGCAAACAGTCAGATCAATTACACCACCTTTTTTTTTATTTGGAAATTAGAGACAAGACTATGTTGAGTATCTGGTAAACAAGTTAAAGCAAGCACATGTTCTATTTTAATCATACAATCTTCAAAACCCATTTTCACTGGTAAAGGCTTAAAGGAAACAGAAGAACCAGGTTTACTAGCTAGAGTTTCTGAAGCTATAGGTCTTCCTGATGAAAATTTCTCTGTCTCATGCAAGATAAATGCGGCAGCACCCATGTTAATCAATACGTTAACTTGGCATCTCCCTTCCGAGATATTTATGCACGTGACCCTATTGATCTAGTCACAAGAGGCAAGGAACTATGCATGGGCCTGGTGCCATTATTGAGAATGCACAGTAGCTATTGAGAACGCTGTTGCTGACAGCAGTCTGTGCTGCTCCAGGGTTGGAAGTATCTGAGGGTAAGTATTTGCAACTGAATCAAGGCAGTCAGGCAGCTCAGTTAGCTGCTCCCAGAGCTGATTGTATGGATCAGTTGAAAACTTGTGTTGCATTAGCAGTAAAAAAAGCAATGCATGAATATCTTGATTAATGTAGATTTTTTCTTTTCTGACCATGCCTCTTCGTGTGATGAGGATTATTAAACGCTTCTCCTGTCCTGGCCACTCTGACTAAGGCTGAGATGGGCTCTTTATTTCTTTTAGGTGGAGATTACTGTGGCTTTTCAGTTTCAACAGCTTCAGCAGCAATTTTTCACTTTGGGTTCTGAAATTGCAATTCCCTGGTATGTTTTTATAGCAAAGGCAAGTACTTAATTGCAGGGCGGTGTTTTCATCGACTCACATCTTTGTTTTACTTTTAATTGTTGGATTTTTCTGGTTCAGAGATGGCAAAACCC